TATACGACCCCTCCCTCTCGGATAGAGTCCCCACCCCCCGCTCACCCCATGTCATCCTCCTTGAATCGCCCCACGCCGTGGCAGGCCAGTGACGAGGTTCCGGTATCGTTTGAGAACATGGCGAGCTACGTGCGCATGCTGACCGCTTTCGGGAACGCTCAGGTACACACACAGTTAGTTGCAGTTGCTGACAATCGTCCTTGGTGATCTGTTAAGCGGAGCGCGATGTTGGCAAAGGGTATGGGAGACTAACCCAGATGAGCGTCTGTGCTGTCCATTCGTGGGGCACAAACAAACCGCCACTAGTTGAAGCATGGTGTGACTCGGTTCCACGTCGAAGCGTGCTGTTCTCTACAAAGGAAAGTGTTCCTAGCGACTCTGGCCGAAATCCTCTTGGGTCCCCCTAGCTGCAGCATGGAAGCGTGCTCCGTTCCCTCTGAACGACGACGCCCTTCGAATGCTGCTGTTGCGAGAAAGGTCGCAGCAAGAGCGCACGAGTGTGTCGCGGCCGCAGCAGCAGCTGTCAGCCGTGCTCTTCTGTTCACCGGCAGATATATATATGCAGCTGTCAAATGTGAATAACCTTCACAGCGGCGCTGCGGTATGACTGGCACAGACTAGTCGGCAAACGCTATACGGCGCCGGAAAATTATCCGGCGTCTTCTTGTCCGCCTTCGTCTGCCAATCCATGCCCCCGTAATAGTGTCATTCACTCAGCCCTTCCCTGTTCTGCTGTACCGCCCTGGTCTCTCTGTTGCTTCCCGCCGATACAACAGACCGACTTCTACTTCTCCCCGCCGTCGTCCGTCGCCGATGGCACCGCCAAGGTCAGTCACTCCCGATCATGTCGCTGGCTCGCTCGCGTTGGCTCTCGGGTCGCCGGAGACTGACTGCCCGTGCTGACAGTATGTGTTTGCGGCCTACGCCACTTATTTATCGGGTGAGACTGTTTTGGTGATGTATTAACTTCACGGGAGGTAGACGACCATCCTTCACACGGACGAAAGAGGGAGTGCTCAAAGAGCGGCTCCCACAGCAAGGAGGGGCCCCGTGAATCATCGCGGTGCCCCCTATCAAACGGTTATCTTACCAGTCTGCGTGACACAAAATCATCCAGCACATGTATCCAACAGC